TGTGCTGTGGTGCATGCTTATACACACACACACACACACACAAGTACATAATGAAATAAATTAAAATGTAATTAAAAAGTTAAAAGAATAAATGCATTAAATTATGAACTACATAGTACAGACTGGGAAAAAAACCATAAACAAATATAAACCAAAGGTAACTATTGGCCAGATAGTTGACAAATAAAAGTTTTGAGCACTTTATTTTATGTGTCTGGGTATTTTGTCAGCATGTATGTCTGTGTACCACATGTGTGTCTGGTGCCAAACGAGGTCATGAGATCCCTTGGAACTGGAATTACTGACAGTTGTGAGTTGCCATGTGGGTGCTGGGAACTGAACCCATGTCCTCTGGAAGAGCAGCCTACGACAATGGCTCTTTACCCACATAATGAAAAATGTCCTCCAATCAGTAAGATTAGCACAAGCAACAAGTTGGGGGTGCGGAGAAAACGTGTAAACAAGCAAAAGAGGCTACAGAAAGGGATTTCCTGAAGGTAATCAACAAAGCATGTTTGCTGTGGAATAAATGTGTCCAGCAAATTGATCATCAAGAAGTGTATTCCTCAGTGAAGGGTTGGGAGATGGGCCTCTGGGGAATGCGTTTGGACCATCAATCCTTCTGGGATGTGAGAGCACAGTGCCAAGGTGCCATCTTGGAAAGAGAAACTACTGGTGCCTTGATCTTTTCCTCTTCCTTTATGGCTATGAGAAACACATGCCATTCCTTCGCAAATCACCCGCTCTCCAGAACTCCGTTACAATGGACAGAGACAATCGGAAACACTGGCCAAGCGCAACAACAGCGGCAATAAAGTCGAGTTCAAACAGCAATGGGACACAGCTTTTTCCATTTGCCAGTTGGGCAAAAGCTGTGAGCAGTCCATGAAGTCAAAAGCAATAAGATTCTCTCACGCGCCACTTGATGGGATTGCAGATCAGATCCATATCTGTTGAAATGTTAAATGCCTACCCCCTTTGACATCGGCACTTCTGCTTCTACTGCCTAATTAGAAGAAACCAGCAACATGTTTGACCAAACAGCCAATCACAAAGATAGTCTCTCGTGTATCCATTTTTATCCCAGCTGAAGGCCCACACTGTGCCAGACACAGTGAATGTACCCCAGGGACAGCACAGGAAAAAAGGCCGCGCTGGTTCATTGAGACAGGGTCCCCCAGGGTTTGGAATTACAGGCATGTGCCACCACTTATGATTCAGAAAATATCTTGTTTTGAAGAAGTTGGAGTGCCAGCAAAAGGAAACCAAAGCAGAACCAACGAATAACCTCACTAACAAAGGACCAAATAGAATACAGCCAAGCATCAATAAGTTCTGTGAGAAAATACTCAGTACAACTCATTAATGAAGACAAAAACAAACTCAGATACCCTTTAAGAGAGAAATAATTATGAATAAAAATATTTATTCTAAGGCTGGGCATGGAGGCACATGCCTGTAGATCTAGAAGAATAAGAAAATTCCTATGTAGAATAAGACAGGAGGATTGTGAATTCAAGACCAGCCGAGGCCACAGTGAGACCCTGTGAGATGACTCAGGGGTTGAAGGTGAGTGCTATCAATCCTGAGGGCCTGAGTTCGATCCCTGGGACCCACATGGTAAAAGGAGAGAATCAACTCTCACAAGTTCTCCCCAGACCTCCACACCCATAGCATGGTACGTGTGCATACATGCATACAAAAATGAATTTAAGTAGATATACATAAATATCTATGGATACATAGCTTTCCATTATGTGAGATATTATGCATCTTTTTTTAAAAATGACATAGTTCCATGTGGACTAGCAAGGTGAATTCTCCAGGACATAAATTGAAATCTAAATAGAAATTGTACAAATTGTAAAAAGTTGTAATGTATTAGGTTTTTAAAAGCACTGAATGATATATATGCACATGTATATAGGAAAATGAGAGTTCCAGAAGTAACCAAGCAGATGAATAACTGTGATCATTTCTAGGCAGGAGATTAGAACATGAAGGGAACAGCCAAGAGAATTTTTGCTTTTTTTCTGTATGATTTGAATTTTTTATGAGCCTGTTTCTGTAAATGCCTCACATATTAAAAAGGAACAAAATAGCTGTTACAGAACACAGAAAATGATGGAACGCTTCCCAATTCAATTTACAAAACCAGCATAACCCTGACATCGAAACCCTTCAATGTTAGTGCAAATAAAGACAGCTAGAGATTGATTTCAGTTATGAATATGGATGGAAAATTCCTATGTAGAACACTAGCAAATGGAATCCAGCAGTATATAAAAGTCATGACTAAGCAGGCTTCGTTCCAGAATCACAAGGATGAATGAATATCAGGAAATCTAGTAACACAATTTATCAAGACAATCTGTACAGTGCTTGGACCCGGTCAACAGGGCTCTCTCGCCCTCACCCCAGCCCTGCCTTCTTGCCACCCACAAATGATAAATCCTGGATCCCATGGAACTGGTCTATCTGGAATTTTTCTTCCCTTTAGACTATCCTTCCCCATGTGGGGCCCCCAGATTGCCTGTCTAACTTCCCCCAAGTCCATTTCCAAGATGGGATCTTATGTCAGAGTGTACACAGCCCTAGACCTATGAGAGGGCCAAGGCAGGGCTGTCTGGGGAAGAATGAGGAAGGTATGAGGTAGGATGCCTCTAGATATGAACAACAGCCCCTTGGGAGATGATGGAGGTAGGGATAGGAAAGAAATGTTGTCCTGTGGTTGGGTTTCTGAGCCGCCCATTCTAATCTCACATGATAGTGTAAGAAGCAGAAGAATCTCTAATCTGTACCTGGTATTCGAGGTTGTTATGCAGGTAACTAGGTAGATAGGTATCTTAGTCATGTGAAGAGACACCATGACCAAGGCAACTTATAAAAGGAAGCATTTACTTGGGGGCTTGCTTACAGTTTCAGAGAACTAGTCCATTGTCATCATGGTGAGCATCATAGAATCAGGTGGGGTTCAGGAACAGTAGCTGAGAGTTTATGTCTGATCTGTTGGCAGCAAGCAGAGAAACAGAGAGTAGAACTGGGCCTGGCATGGGCTTTTAGAACCTCAAGCCTGAACCCATTGACATATCTCCTCCAACAAGTCCATATCCACTTCATCAAGGCCACAACTCCTAATCCTTCCCAAATAGTTCCACTAACTGGCTACCTTCAAACATGAGCCTGTGGGGGCCATTCTCGTCCAAACCACCTCAGTAGGTGATGAGGTTGTAGCTCCAGTTAGATACTTTGGCTTCCAACTTCTAGGTACTTAGAAAGAGAGCAGGGTAGATTCCACTCGTACTCTTGGCCCAGAAATCAAAGCTCCGAAGAGCAGCCCAGTAAGATTAGAACTCAAGAAAAAGGAGTGATGCCCAAAACAGGAAAAGACCTTAAAAAGAAGAGAAATGAATGCATGTGGAAAGATGGAAAAGGAGATGATCCAAAACTACTGCACTCGGGACTTAAGACCCGAGTCTTAACAATGTCCTCTTTTATAAGGTAAAATATCAAAAGGAGACAGTAGAGATGACAGGCATGGTGGCTCATGCGCAGTGTGTGTTGCGCATGCATGTGAGCATGTGGATTGTGTGCCCATGCATGTGCACACAGAGGCCAGTATCATCCTCTATCACTGTCCATCTTATTGTCTTAAGAAAGAGTCTCTCCCTGGGTAACAGTGGTGGCGCATGCTTTCAATCCCAGCACTCTGGAGGCAGAGGCAGGTGGATCTCTATGAGTTCGAGGCCAGCCTGGTCTACAGAGGGAGTTCCAGGACAGACTCCAAAACTACAGAAAGAAACCCTGTCTTGTAAAACCAAACATAGATACATAGATAGATAGGTGGGCAGATGGACAAACAGATGGATGGATGGATAGACAGATAATAGATAGATGATAGATAGATAGATAGGCAGGCAGACAGATAGACAGACAGACAGACAGATAGATAGATAAAAAGAAAAAGATTCTCACTGAACCAGAAGATCCTTTACCTAGGCTAGCAAGTTTCCAGGATCCACCTGTCTCTGCCCTCCGGTGCTGGAGTTACAGGCACACAAAGCCACGCCTAATTCTTTACACGGGTGCCAGGGTTTCAAACTCAGGTCCTCAAACATGGCACAGCAAATGTTTTTACCCTCTGAGTCATCTCCCTAGCCCCTCCCCCAGGAACTTTTTAATCATTAAATGTAGCTACCAAAACAGGCCCTTAACAGTAGAGAACTGTACAGTTGGCATTCTTTTCCAGGGGACATCCATTTAGATCTTGAATTGAAAATAGATGAGGCATTAGAATGAGGCAAAAATAAATAAACCACCCATGGGTCTTGAAGGGCAATGCCCACCATCTCCATCCCTGAGTCAGAGCAGGAAAAGTTACCTGGAGTATAGTTAACAGCTCAGCAGGGCCCTAGCACGGGATCTGCACGAAGCCATCTTCCCTTCCTCACAGCCATTGTGTCCCTGCTCAAGGCTCACAGTCATAGCCTGGGATGGAAGCAGATGCCAGTGACTGCATTTGCTTGAAATTACCAGATGCTGATCAAAGACCATTCAGAAGAATTGAGTATTTCAGCCCAGTGTGATGGTGCACGCCAGTCATCCTAGTCCTGGGGAGGCTGAGGCGGGAGGGCTGAGAATTTGTGGGCAGTTTAGGCCACAAAGAAAAATCCTGTTCCCTAAAACCAAACCAAAACAAACCCTGAAATTTTGAAATATCACTCTCAAAAAGCAATATAAATGTCCCCAAATGAGGATCCTACATAGCAGATTTCCACATGAATTCACGGTATGTGATAGAGTAATTATTTTAGAAGACTCTCTGGCTTATTTATTTTAAGTTTGCCCAGCTTTCTTGAAGGATAGTTGACAATAAGATATTTGGGTTTATGGTAAGCGACTTGATGCTTTGTTTTCTCTTTTTTCTCCCCCATAAATTTTTTATTGATACTTTGTGAATTTCACATCATGCACCCCAATTTCTTTTTTTTTTTACACCCTCTCATCCAGGTCCTTTATTTCGAGTAGAATTATCCAGAAGAGACCATCTCCCCCAAACCCCAAAGTACACACTCTCAGTCTAGCCGCTGAACCACTCACTGTCCATGGAGTTTCTCTGTCCTGCATCCAAAGGCCCCCTCAGGTGGATGTGTCCATCTCAGGGATCTCAGTGGACACCTCTGTGGGCACGCCCAGGCGCTGGGGGGGGGCACATAGGAGCCCATGCCCGCTGCCCTCTCAGCCTCTTCCTGACTGTAGGGTTCGATGCTCAGCTGCTTCAGCCTCTTCTTGTGGTCTTTGGATCGGAAGTGGGTCTTCAGGTTGGCAGAATCGATGAAATACCTCGCGCAGGCCAGACAGCGATGCAGGCCGCCCCCTGGCAGGTCCGGGTCGGGCTCGGCGTCCAGCTCCGGCTTGGCCCGCGAGAGGCTCTGCGGCCGCAGCTCGCGGTGAATCTCATCCAGGTCCGGTCGCCGCTTCTTGGCCTTCATCTGGCGGGCTAAGGAATGTGCTCGATGCGCGCCGGTCCGGCGGGAGCGACCCATGATCAGTGACACCAAGGCTGAGGAGCAGGGTAGTACGGAAAGACTCCGCACCCCAATTTCTGAGTCCTTCCATATTCACCCTCTGCCCTTGTAACCTACCCCCAAGAGAATATAGAAAATAAAAATTAAGGGTTGGGCTGGTGTTGGCGCATGCCTTTAATCCCAGCACTCAGTAGACAGAGGCATGTGAACCTCTGTGAGTTTGAAGCCAGCCTGGTCTACAAAGCAAGTTCCAGAAGGAAAAAAAAAAAAGGCTTGCCATGGAAGCTCTGGGAGTATCACAGTGTGTCAAGCAATAGATCCTTTTGTCCAAACAGCTTTCCTTGCAAATGTTCATTGAAATGAGTCATTCGTCTGGTTTGAGGTCTCTAGCTTCTGCTACACTATCAATAGTGGATTCTCACCAGGACTCCTCTTAGATATCCCTAGTCATGGAGATCCTGCAGTTTTGGTTCTATAGAACCGGCCCCTTCAAATGCTCCAGCGCTCATAGAAGGGGTAGTTGTTGGTGTGGGCCAGCTCAAAGCTCTGAATCTGGGCCTGGGTGGTAGCTGAGTTGGTCAGCAAACCAGCTGTCCCACACTGACCAAGCAACGGGAAGTTTTGCCATCTTAAAAAAAAAAAAAAAAGAGGAGGAGGGAGGGAAGTAGGAAGGAAAGAGTGAACGAACAAATGAACAAACAAACAAATGAGCCATGGGGCTAAACAGCTCAGCAGTTTAGGGCACTTGTTGCTCTTACAGAAGACCAGGGCTCAATTTCCATAGTAGCTCACAACCATCTGTAACTCCACTCCCAGGGTAACCCATGCCCTCCTCCGACCTGCCTGGGCACCAGAAAAGTACATGGCACACAGGCTTATGTGCAAGCAAAACACTCACACAAATAAAATAAAACTAAAAAAAAAAATAGTAGAATCACTTTATTGTTGTGAGCAAATAAAAAATCACACAGCTAGACAAGAGCAGCCGTTCAAGTACCAAATGCTGTTCTTTTCACTGCGTCTCTATAAGGCTATACGGGCCATCCTGATGAAGCCATGGCTATCCTGATGAAACCATGGTCATCCTGATAAAGCAATGGCCATCCTGATGAAGCCGTGGTCATTCTGATGATGGAACCACGGCCATCCTGAAATTGAAATCATGGCTCTTTGCTTAGGGTATTGACCCTTTCGATTTTGAGTGCATTCTTTATGCACAAAAGAGAAAAGCAATCAGCTTTCTACCTCCTCTCGTGGCCCTTCTCCTCTTGCCTGCTTTCCATCCTTCAGTATCGCCTGAGGTTACTCTTTCTTGGACGCCTTTCTAAATGCTGTATACCATTCCCCCGCCTACAGTTGTTTGCCCACACACATGTATGTATCGACTAGATGTTTTATATATGTATATACTGTCAAGTGTTTGCCATAATCGTGCTAATGGATATACCCTCGCCTCAGACTCTTACCAGGTTTTCCTTGTGTGGGTGTGATGAGAACATTTAAGATCTATTCTCTTGGGCTGAAAAATGACTCATCAGATAAAGAGACCCAACTGCCCAAAGCCGTCCTCTGACCTCCATGTGTGCTCCATGGCTCTGCGCCCCGCCCAACACGAGAGGAGCTTCAAGTTCAGGGAGCGACCCTTTCTTAAGGCAATAGGGTGGAGGTTGGTAGAGGAAAACACTTAGCCTTGGTATGCGCATACATGGGCGAACATTCTGCACACTCACACGCATGCACAATACACACTACCCCTTTCTCTGAAATCTTATTTTCACTTCCGGTCAATCTATAGTAGTTCCATGTATTTCTGGGGTCCAGTGCCGGGTTTCAATGTGTAGGTACAGCTGCTTCCGTAGAGTGACTGCTTCCGAGGATTTGGTGTGTGCATCACATTTCTGTGCACGGAGAGCATCCAGAAGCCTCTCCATAAGGCGACTTTGAAGTATTCAATAAATTACTGTCAGCCATTGTTGTCCCACTGTAGTGTCCTCCCTGGAGGACAGCATTCCCCACAATGACCCTTTCTCCTCTGGAACGAATGGATCTTTTGTAGGGAGGCACTTGGAGACTGCAAACAGCTGGCTCTTTATTGAAATTTTAATTTACTCATTTTTAAATTTATAGCCTCAGAGTTTCCTGTTTTATTACCATGTAACTTCTTATACTTTGGAGGGGACTTGTGTAAATGTGTTAAGTATTGGAACTGATTTTTAAAAAATTAGTGTGTGTGTGTGTGTGTGTGTGTGTGTGTGTGTGTGTGTATTTGGTGTTTCGGTATGAATGGAGGGACACTTGCACCACACACACACTTGTGTATGAAGGTCTGGAGTCAACTTGAAGGAGTCAGCTCTCTCTTCCACCATGTGGCCCCTAGGGATCAAACCCAGGTTGGCAGGCTTGGTAGCAAGCACCTTCGCTCATTACCCCATCTCACTGGTCCTAAGATAAAATTTAAAGGGCAAGCACCTGACCTGTAAATCCTCCACTGAGTGCAGACCTTCAGTGAACTCATCTCCCTTCTCCTTTGTTAAAGCTCAGACACACATCACTGAGGTTCCTGGGGTGTGTGTCTGGAGGTGGGGCTGGAGGTGCAAAGGTGGAGTGTTATCAGTCCTGGTGGGAATGGGAGTTGGGGGACATTTCCCCAAAAGGAAACTAGTGACCATTTCCCCCATGGAAATATCTTTAGCAGGGCAGTGGTGGCACAGGCCTTTAACGCCATCACCAGGGAGGAAGAGGCAGAAGAATCTCTGTGAATTGGAGGCCAACCGGGTCTACAGTGCTAGTTTCAAGACAGCCAGAGAAACCGTCTTGAAAAGCCACAGAAAGAGACTGGTGTTGGCACATGGATTTCTTGGCATGGAAATAGGTACCATCAAGTAAAGGCACAAACCTTCCAACCCCCTCGATGATCAGTGGGAAGGGAGATCCCGCCTCCTTGTATTTACAAGTCAGAAGATTGAGACCAAGAAGAGATGGGCAAGTGTGTCCCCTGCTGAGGGGGCTATTAGAGGGCAGAGGATCAATCCTGACAACTTCTCCCAGAATGATAATAATAATAATAATGCTACAGAGAGAAGAGCTGAGCTGGCTAGAAGGTCTTCCCAGAGGTAGTCGCCCACCTGGGTTGGGGTGCTAGAAGTAGTACGGGTGGGGAGACATAGCTAGCCACCGCAGAACCCTTTGGAGCTCCATTTTTAAAATTCAGGGAGTATCTGCCACATTACACGAATTTTGTCTAATTTCCCTCGTTCTCTTTTGCTCCCCCCGGGTTTTCTCTCTCTACTCCTCAGCTCCAAATCTACAGAGTCTGCTTATCATTCTTGTATGTGCGGGCTATTTTCGGAAACGTTTGTGTGTTGGCAGCTGTCCCTGATCTGACCAGAACACACCTCCACAGACAGACACATTCTGCAGATTTCTAACAAAGCAAATATGTTGGTTTTGGCACAGATTTGCTCCAACATATCAGACTATATTGCTTGGTTGACTAGGAGAAAATATGCAGGGAAAACACATTTTATGACTTTAATTGTTATTATAGGTGCTTTCAGAAAATAAATCTGGGACCTGTAATATATTTAAGTGAAAGAACTCACATCTGGTTCCGATTAGCTCTGGAGTCTGTTGGCTGACTTAGCACGGGAACCTTTTCTGGAAGTCAAATCTGTCTGGGGATTTTGTTTTCACCCCAAGAGGCACAGTAGAGACCTTGTTCCTACACAAAGGCATTAACTGTTAGTGTGACCCCCTCGCGAACATGGCAATGCTAACCAGACCTCTCAAGGCAGAGTCCTTTCTTGGAGGAACACACAGGAAAGGCAGAAGGACAAGGCCTGGATAGAGAGAGTTTCAGGACAGTGTGACAGACTAGGCAGTGGGTCACTTTAACCTCCATCCACAGAAGCCAGCATTGCTATCCTTATTCAGGGCAGGAAGACAGAAGAGATGATGCACACGGTGGTACACCTCGCTTTCATCATGGCCAGTTGGTGTGATTTCTAACAGATACCCGGGAACAGTGTACTTTCTTCTCATGAGACAGAGAGAGCAGTAATAAGTGCCTTTCACTTCCTTCGTCAGAAAGATGCAGGATGAATGACAAGAAGCGGAGTGTGGTACTGTGTGCTTGTAGCTCCAGGTGCTGTGAAAGCTGAGGCAAAGGGCTGCTTAAGGTAAGAGTTTGCGCGATATAATAAGACTTCATCTCAAAAAATAAAAACTAAAGATATTCGTAAGAATAGGTTAAAATGAAGCCAATAGCTGCACTGGGACCCAAAGACCCCGAGCATTCTAGAAAGTAGTGTCTAAAATGTAAACCCTGTGGCTACATACAGTCTGTGGGCTGCAACTGTCTAGCTACCAGGACCATCATACTTCCCTTTTCTTTCTTAAGACTTATTTTATGTTTAAGTGTGTGGCTGTTTTGCTTACATGCATGTGTTTGTATGTCTGTCCACCACATGTGTGCCTGGTGCTCATGGAGTCCAGAAGAGGGTATCAAATCCCCTGGAGCTGGAGTTGGAGTTACAGATGATTGTGAGTCACCGTGTGGGTGCTGGGAACTGAAGCCAGAACCTCTAGAAAAGCAGCCAGTGCTCTGAAGCCCTGAGCCATCTCCCCACCATCCCATTCCCCACAAATCAGTCTCCCTACTGAGAATGGAAGCCTCAAAGCTCACTCACTCCGAGCTATGGGAAAGTTCCCGGCTCCTGGGACAGCCTCTTCTCACGTTTCCATTTGCATGTGTTCATAGTTCATTTCAGTTGTCAACTTGACAGGAATTCAGGAACATCTAGGGCATTAATAAGCACATCTTCGGTGAAACTGTGAGGGCTTTTGCAGAAAGGAATAAGCAAGGGGAGGAGAGATCCACCTGCTTCTGACTCCCGAGTGCTGGTATTGAAGGCAGGTGCCACCACTGCCCGGCTGAGATACCTCATTGTTAAACTGCAGGCACTGTGGTACATGCCTATGTCAGTACCACCAGAAACATAAGATAAAAGTTGTATAGGTGAAGAAACTGTTATAAAGGGTTTAAATGTCAGGTGCGGTGGCATACGGCCTTAAGGCATTAAGGAGGCATTA